CGAGATCATTGTTATGGGTCTGTTTCCCTGAGATAGTACCTATGCCAGTTGAAGAAGCATCCGTAGTAAAATCAAATGGTTTTGAATAGTCCGGGTAATGAAGAACAACGTCTTCAGAAGCGAGGATACCCCTGAGTTTGTCAAACGCAGACATCTGAATCTCGTCAAAGGATACTGGAATATTTTTCGAACGGTATTTGCTGATTTTTTCGCCCTCACCTTTTAACAGGTTTGTTAAAGGCCTTGCGATTGAAGCGAAATCTTTGATAAAGCATCTGTAGTAACTTGCAATACCTATGAAGGACCTTAAATAAAACAAGCTGCTTGGTTGCTTGAAATCTCTAATTGCCTTTACTTTATCTGGCCTAGTTCTTGTGCCCTCTTTTGTGACGAGAAAGCCTAAGAATTCTACACTTTTTTTTTTAAATTGTGATTTTTGCTTTGACATCCTCATATTGGCGTTGTAAAGGCTCTTAAATACTTGACAGACATGTTGTAAGTGGTCTCTTTCATTCTCGGAGAACGCTATGACATTATTGACGTAGACATAGCACGTTTTTCCAATCATATGGCGTAGAACATCATCTATTGCTCGCTGAAAAATGCTAAAGGTATTTCTCAAACCAAAAGGCAAACGGCAGAATTCATATTTACCTCCGTTTACTGAAAAGGATGTCTTTTCTCTGTCACTTTCTGCTAACTCGATTTGATGGTACCCAGATTTCAAGTCAAGGGTAGTGAAGTACTTAGCTTTTCCAAGGTTTGATAGGATCATACTGATACTCGGCATTGGGTATTTGTCCGCAATAGTTTTGGAATTCAATTTTCTAAAATCTACTACCAACCGTTTATTAGGCACACCTGAGAGATCGGTACCCCATATGGGTTGTTGTATGGAGATCTAGAAGGTCGAATTGTTTAGTAAATCCTTAATTTTTTGATTCACGAAATCAGCAGCTCTCATAATAAATGGGTACATATTGGAGTAAACTGATTCATTGTCATCCATGCGAATGGTGGCTACACCATTGGTGTTGAATGGAAGTAGTTTGCTCAGATCGGCAAACGCCTTCAAGTGCTTTGTCATCATTTGTAGAAAGTCTGTGCGAACATTAAGTGGAACCTCTTCAATTTTAGTGAAATTAACTTGACCACTTGAGGATTAATTCTGATGCGAGGTCAATAGTAGCCTCTGAAAGTAGGTCGAGTCCAATTATGCCGTCAAACGACGTAAGTCCAAGTAAGTAAGTGATTAAGCTTTTATTTTCGATTTTATTAAAGCCGTGAATTGATTTGACTACAAACGGGATTTGTACCGGAACGGAGGCTAGAGGGCATACGTCTGGGTTTATGTAACTTTTCGACGCTCCAGTGTCAATTAAGAATTTCAATAATTTCCCTGCTACTGTTCGCTCGACAAACGGTTCGCTAAAAAATTAAGAGCATCTGTTTCATAGCCGGCTTCGTTTTCAGCTTCTATTTCTGCCGCCGGGATACTTCATTTTTTTTTGCGTCAAATAATTTATCCTCTGGCGTCTGTGATCAGACGTTCTTAGAGAGTTTGCAGGTCTTTTGAAAGCATTTTGTGGCTGATTATTGCTGTGCGCAATTTGGCTTTGAAATAGCTGGCATTGAAAACCGATATTTTGACGGAATCTAGAGGACGGGTCAACGTTCATTTTCTCTACCTGGTCACGTTTTGGGGAATGAGTTCTTTGCTCTCTAGTAAAATAGGGGGTCTTTCCTGTCCTATACTGAATGTCAGATTGCCTCTGATAAGGTCGGCCTTGAGATTGTCTCAAGTTCTTCTCCTCTAGTGACCTTGCATACTGGGTCGCAAATGCGTGTCTGTCGTGATTTGACTCGATATCCTGGGCCATTGCAAGAGCCGAGGGCAAGCCTCTGAGGTAGGCCGCGAAGAGAACATCCGTAAGGTTTCTCCTTAGTCCTGGGGCAAATACGCGCAGTGCGCCGGCAGTGTGCTTGTCGTTCATGTACCGCGCTTGGTCGGTATCAAAAGTCATTGTGGTTTTATTGGTAAGTAGTGTGAGTTTTTTTTCAACCTCCTCGTAAAATTGAATGGTTGACAATGAACCCTGTCTAAGCGTAGCGAGCTCTTGTTCAAGTAGATGTAATGGTCGCTTGTCCGAGTACGTGAACTCTAGACGTCTAATAGTAGCGTCAAAATTAAGGACCGTTGAAAGATGCTAAAACTGCATCAGCCGATCCCCTAATTCTGTTGCGAATTATAAGGACAGCTTGGTAGTGTTTTGAACTGCCCACGTGGGTTTTGAAAACATCATATGCGACCATTACTGCCTGCCGTCAGTACACATATACATAGTTCCTGTGATTCATCGAACTCTTGGAGAGACTTAACTGCATCCAGGCCTTCGTGACATTCGACCCCGCCTATAATTTTTATTCGCTAGTAGGCCTTGATTTCGGGGGCTGTTACAGCTATGGACTGAAATTGGTTTGTAAGCTGCTCTAGCCTAGCTTCGAAGTCTTTTCTTTGAACCTGCAGAGCGACGCTAACGACCGCATTGATAATACCTTGCAACTGCTGTTCATTCATGTTTTGCCCGCGTTTTATTCGTTTACTAGCCAGGAGTTGGTTATTAAGTCGGTATAATAGTTCGTTAGTTTCGAGGTCGCACATACAGTTACAGTCAATACAAAACAACACTACATACTTACTAAGTACTACATACTTATTTCACTTACATAATTATATTACGATTTTCTTTGTTCTTCTTTCTTCCTCCTTGGTTGCGATCTTCCTTCTTCGTTTATTGTACTCTTCTTTCTTCCACGTTGGAATGGCAATTTTGGTATTAATAATTCAGTTCTTTTCTCGTAACGACGAATTTCATGTACTGGGACAATAACGATGAGGGTTTTTTTTAACACCACCAGTTGCATTATCACTTCACGAGCTGTTTTTTCCCGTTGGGCGCCAGTTATTTTTTTATTCACTAGTGCAAAGTGGGTGGTTGCGGCGTGCCCCGCCCTCTAATAAGTTCAATGCATATATTTCATAAACCATTCGAGCTATATGACCCAAATTTGCACAGAAGACATATTTTTGCCTTTTCCTTTGACAGTGTGTGAAAATAGAAGAAATCGGATGATAGCCCGACTCCTCATATCCTCATTTTTATACTCCATATATGTTGGTAATGATATGATATAAAACTCAGGGAGCATTTCATTCTGTTAATAGTATGTTGTATTGCCAAGAATAGATAAAGTCGGGTCAAAACCCTTACCTTTCATATACCTAATATAAAATTTTCAAACTTCCGGTTGGCTTATGCAATATATATAAGTCAATAAGAAAAACATTTTAGTAAGATTAACTGAACGTATAATATTGAACATACTATAGTTTAATACAAAAAATATGTGAATTTAGTGTACGAATTACCCTAAATCACAGATACTACATATATTGATTTTCGTTATTCTAACAAATCTTATGCCGAACATGTCGTTCAATGTGTGAATTATGTATTTATAAAAAAGCTTGAAAATATGATCTCAAGTATACCTCAGCAATGCTAAAAAGTTAATTATATATCCCATATAACTCATTTGAAGATGATTTTATTACAATTTTAGCTGACGCGAAGTTAAATATAGTAATATAACTAAGTGAGTCTGTGACCCATGATATAACTTCATAAAACACAAATTTAATTTTAATTCATTTACAATTTCATCGAATAATTAATGCTGAATTGCTTCGCAACATTTTTTTAAAATAAAATTTTCCTAACACCTGAAGGTATTTTCCATACTTTGATCCCTGCAAGTTGCAAGAATATAAAATGTGCGGTTACACCCGAACTTAGCCATGTTAGTTTTGACTTTTTATTTGAATTTCCGGAGTTCCATGTTTTATGTAAACTTTGCTGCCACTAATTCTTTTGCTTTCTGGAGGTAACTCTTACAGTTGTTTAAAAAAAGGTTCCTATCTATATTTTTATTTTATAATACCCTAAAAATGACAAGAGGTAATTAGTTAACTATCCTAATTTGTTATCGAATTATAGCAATTAATGATATACGTAATTTTGAAGGCTGGTCAAATGCCGGATGCACATTTGTAAAACAAGTCTACCTAAATGGGGCAGGTGTACCAAGTTTTTTATATTTAAATATGCCCATTTGATTTCGTTATCAGATTTATTGCACAAACTTATTTAACTGGATAGTTTAAATTTTTTTCAAATTTATTTTAGATTTTGGAAAATTCTAAGAACATATGACATGGAAGAATTTTTAATGAAAATGTATTTTCACCACCAGGCTAATTTTGCTCTTTGAGTATATTATTGATATGGAGTTACAGTTTTACATTTTTGTAAATCGAACCATTTTAAAAATTCTAAATCGATTTTGTAATCAATAAAAACATAATTATTTGTATATCTTTGCATACGCTTATGTAATTTCTTAATTTCCGTTATATGTTAAAAAAAACGAATACTTTTGTCAAACAAATACTTTTCCTCCGCCTTAAAATTTTCTATTTTTTCTTATTATTAGATAATTCTGAATGCTCTATAAATAGGTCTTCTACGATGTTTTCGTAAACGTAACCGTTTAAGAGAAGTTTTTGTAGAGAATTCAATTTACTACAAAATCTTTAAACACATTGCAGACATGTTCTAAGTTTTGATATTAAATCGCTATCAACTTATTCTTGAGTAAAACAGCGGAAAGAAGTTCACTGTATACGATCGTTAGTTTTGTCAAACTTGTTTTCTTTTTGCCTTTGTTTCTGCGTGCGTATATATAATATGTTTGCGGTAATGCCCTTTTCAAACTTTTTTGTTCATCTTTAAAAAGTTTTACCTTACATCCACCAAATAATTATTGCGCACTTTAAAAGCGTTATTGCATATTTTTAGTATTAAAGTATCAATTTTGAATTATTTTGAATATTTTAAATTATATTAATAATATTTTCCTTTACTTTTATTATATTTCAGGCGATTTTATTTTATACACCAAGATGGCTGTGGAAATCTTGGGAAGGTGGCAAAATTCATGCACTTATCATGGACTTAGATATAGGAATTTGTTCCGAAGCCGAGAAGAAACAAAAAAAGAAATTACTATTAGATTACTTATGGGAAAATCTAAGGTTAGTGCTTTATGTAAAAAAAATTGATTCCTAAACTATACGACTGAAAAATAGTTTTCATGTGAGAGCGAATATTTACTGTTTAGTTTATTCATTAAATAAACAAATAAAAGATTTGAAATTACTCCTAAATTCCAAAAGGGAATGCTTTGTAAGTGTATAAGTTCATACACAGAGATTGTCTCACACATAATTATTTAATACATTTTGGACCATATGAAAGCGATTTACTTATTAATCGAAAATTTACCTCTACTTATGTGTTTACTTTGTTTGTTTTTTAATTAGGTATCACAACTGGTGGGCTTACAGATACTACGTGTGCGAATTACTGGCACTCATAAATGTGATAGGTAAGTACGCAAGCAACAATTTATATTTAGTGTATACAAATTTATTGAAAGTTTTCTTGGATATGTAGGCTCGAGAATTTATCTTCCTATGTGGTATACTCAGATATTTTCTTAGTTAGTATATTTTCTGTGAGAATTTATAATTTTCCATTAGACCTTAAATATCAACAAGTAAGGAAGGGCTAAGTTCATAACCAACAATTTTATACTTTCGCAATTTGTGAAATTCAAGAGCGGTGAAATATTTTCAGATGCTAACAAATCTGTACATTAAAACTTTTGTGACTGAATTTAGAATTCATTATTTGAAGAATATTTGAATGAATTACAATCATATTTATATAGTTACTTATTCATTTATATTGTAGGTCGTAGACTCACTGAGTTTCATTATTATATTTTGTTTCGTGTCCAGAATATTTATATTAAAATCCACATAATTCGCTCAATTTAAATATAACGTGTGTTTTTTTTCGAGGTATAGAACTTTAAGTTGGCATTACAGTTCAAGATGGCGACCGATTTAACAGCCATCCAGTGATTTATTCTCAGTTTGGTTTGGCAATTCATCATGAATAGACTCACGCCTGAACAATGCTTGCAAATAGTGCAATTTTATTTCGAAAATAATGGTTCTGTGCGGAATACGCACTACGTTTACTTTATCGTCGAGCGCACTTCTGGTTGAATGGCTACGTCAACAAACAAAACTGCCGCATTTGGAGTGAAGCTAATCCTCAAGTGTATGTCGAAACACCATTACATTCAGATAAACTGAGTGTTTGGTGCTTTATGGGCTGGTGGAATTATAGAGCCATGATTACTAACTTTTTCATTCCTGAATTGAACAACCAAGATGTCCAGGAGCTGTGGTTCCAACAAGACGGCGCAACATGTCACACAGCTCGTGCCACAATCGATTTATTGAAAGACACGTTTGGTGACCGCCTAATTTCACGTTTTGGAATGTGAATTGGCCTCCAAGATCTTGTGATTTAACACCGCTAGACTACTTTCTGTGGGGTTATGTAAAGCCATTGATCTATGCGCATAAGCCACAAACGCTTAACTATTTGGAAGACAACATTCGACGTGTTATTGCCGATATACGGCCACAATGTTGGAAAAAGTCATCGAAAATTTTACGTCATATGCCAGAAATCATATTTAAAATGTAATGCCACAAGATTATCTTTCGGATAAATAAAATTCATGTCAATCGAATAATCCATCGTTGTTTTATTGTAATTTATAGTTCTATACCTCTAAAAAAACTCCTTTTACATACAGTGTACATATACATAAGTGAAGGTACGGTTGGTTAATTTCACTCCTTGTGATAAGAAAACAACCATTGTGAACAGAAAACAATTTTTTTTTTCAATAACCGTTATTTTTTAGTATTTAGTATATTATCAAAAAGAGTAGAATTAACCAACCGTACCTTCACTTATGCTGTACTCTGTATGTGATTTAAGCTGAACCAAAGGGACTAAATTTAATACATTGGATTCCTCGCATATCAAGTTAGTCAAAGAATCGGAAGTCATTACATTTAATATATGATGTTTAGCCCAAGGTCTATGAGAGCTGGGGTAGTTCGTAAACTGATTTCGCCATTAAACTATGGACGGACAGATAGCCATCCGAAATTGAACTGGTCTAGTGATCCTGCTCAATCGCATATATAGTATACTTTTACATCTATCTCATTTAGGGTTAGGAGAACAAAACTCTTGTACTTTGTGCAACATGTTTAGAGAATTTAAATATATTTACTCCTACATGTGTATATATGTATAACAATTTTATGAAACCTGTTAGGAACGTCCACTACTATACTATGTTGCTGCATTTTGAGATTTCATTCTTAAAAAATAAATTAAAATAAAATCGGGACTATAGCGCAATCTTCGGTTATTACCTAAATCATATTCATCAGAACTTGGGTTATTTATGTGTATAGCGTTCATGTGTATGAATTATGTATCACATAGTAAACCAATTATTTTAACTGTATTTTCCTGTTACAGAACCCTCATTTTGTTTTTTCTGTAATTAGATCACCCCTTGTGAATCCCAGAAACGGTGATCATCACCGATCCTTGAAAGCAATACCGAAACCTCTTCAGTTAGCGTCAAATAAAGGGAAGTGGTTTCACGGTTGCGCTTGATACCTGGACTAAGCGAATGCGATACCCATCGCGCCGATATCATACCCAATATTTAATGCAGGGCGATTTGCCAATACGACATAGTGGGCTTTTGTAATGTTATTCTTCGTAGTAGCCGTTTTCGGTTCATCTTGGCCACCACTAACCGACAAGCGGCCACATTGAAACTCATTTAATAAATTTTTGACAACCCCAATCGAAGCACGAACCACCGTATACAGCATTCAAGCGCTCTCTGATTACCTATCGCATTTTCCTTAACAAAACTCTACCATGTACAAATTTAAATAGATGTGGAGTTATATATCTATCATCACCTATATCTCATATATATATATATATATACTATATATGATCAGGATGACGAGACGAGTTGAATTCCGAGTGACTCTCTCTCTGTCCGTCCGTCCGCCCGCGCAAGCGATAACTTAAGTAAAAATTAAGAACTGAGATATCTTAATGAAACTTGGTGAAACCGAAGTACGGTTGGTATTGCAGATGAGCGGAACCGTATCGCCACGCCTACACAACGCCATTAATCGGAAACCTATAAAGTACCATAACTAAGGTCCATAATAAGATGCAAGGCTGATATTTAGTACAACGAATTGCATTGGGGAGAGGCATCTATGCCTGAAAATTTTTAAAAAGTGGGCGAGGCCCCTCCATCTTATAAGATTAATATACATATCTCCTTAACCATTCATGCTATGATAACAAGAATTACTCAGGAAAAATTTTTTTATCTTCCCTACCCACCCGGTAAAAATGGATGAATTCGGATTATAACTCCGCCCACTCCCAATATAACGATTTAGTTAAAATTTATTAAAAGTGAGATAAATCTATAAATAAATGCACCAGAGACATAATATAACATTTATTCGACCGATTTCAACTAAATTCGGTATATCAAATTATCCTGAATTATCGGTAATGAAATCGAGCGACAACCGCGCCTACTTTCCATATACTCGTAATTACATTTTAAATTACGTCTACTTTCGCATTCCAGTATTAGAATCAAGCACCAATGCTGATATCGGCATAAAATTTTGCTTGAATAGTGCGTTTAAGGTGTGTCACCTTATAATCAAAAATTGTCAAAGTCGGTCTACATTTGTTCAAGCCCCCTGATGCCGAATATGTGGACGCCAGTTTTTATTGTGAAAAACCAAATATATGGGTCAATCTGTCAGATATACCATATGTACCTATTATTGAAGTTCGGAAAGTAATTTCTTCGGCTTTGATTCTTGCAAGTTGGGAGAGTATAAAATTTTCGGTTACACCCGAACATAGATCTTTCTTACTCGTTCATATCTAGAAACTACTCTAATTTTTTCCATTTGATTATACGACATGTTCAAAGTTCAATATTCATTCGGATATCATTATATTACAATATGTTATTCTAAATAGCAAAGCATTGCAAAATAACAAATTTACACAGTGTTGAAGATTATGTAATGTTAATTTTCAGGAATAAAGAAGTTTATATATTTATAATTGGTAGAAGCATTGAAAGATATTAATCAAAAAAAATTTGAAATGTTCAGTATGAAATCAATTAAATTCCAAATGAAGTAGCTAAGAAGGGTATACGAAAAACTAGTATCCCACATAAAATAAAATAGACATACTAGAGAATTTATGTATTGGAAATTAATTAAACCATGAGCATCTTTTCACCATATGTGTTTTCATCAGGTAATGATTTCAAAGAATTTACGTCGCAAATGAATTTGCTTCCACCACCCACCGCTGCACAATTCTTCCATGGAATATTTTTCAAGAACTATTTTTTAGTTTCTGCTTAACCCTTGTAATTAATTACACCACTCGTGCCGAGTTTCTGCATCCGCTCAAATTCAAACACGGTCAAGAATATTTCTGAACATTTCAGCACAGAACCGTAGCAAAATTGTTCGGTTACACTCATCTAATAGTAAATAGATTTAATACTAAACAAAAAAGCTTAAGAAAATGTATGGTAATTAAATCGATCGGCTTATGAGATACTAAACTGAATGTGAGATAACTTTGATACAAATTTCCACTTTTTATTATACAATTAATAGATTATTGCTAAAATTATATACAGTGTTAACATTGATCATGATAGCGTAGGGAAATATAATGGAATAATACGTATGCATGTAGTGTATATAAATAAACGATATTGAGCTAATAATTATAATGTTTTACATTTCTCTATTTTCCAGGTCAAATGTTTCTTATGAATCGATTTTTCGATGGCGAATTTTTGCAATTTGGCTGGAAGGTTATAAAATATATGGAGGACGATCAGGAAGATCGAATGGATCCCATGATCTACATATTCCCCAGAATGACCAAATGTACATTTTTTAAATACGGTTCAAGCGGGGAGGTATGTTACTACAATACATAACCCATAGCTTACATATCGATATACTAGACTAGAGAAAATGTTGCATTAAATTGGGTTATTTAAAGCTTATAATAAATATAATTTTCATTTTATTTTGTATATGTATACAGTTAAAAAAAAGTGTTTCGGCTACTGGTATGTGTAGTTTGTTCGATTCGTTACCCTTTAACGCTTATCATTTTATACAAAAGCTGGAAAAGAAGTTTAATCTCTAGTGCCAAATAATGGGACTATTTCAACGAAAGTTATAGTTTTAAAAATCACGAGAAATAAAATATTTGTGTACTGTTTAGCACAAAACAGGTTAATTTTTAAAAAAACTTGCCTGACCTGTTCTCTTTGAATAATGTGAATAGATAAAGGAATTGATCGGAGGCAATAAATTTGAATGCATATAAAAATTATATAAAGATTATGAAGTCAGTATGATTAGCTCAACCAGAAATTATACTGTTAAGCACACGTCTTGGCAAATTTATCATGTCTGGGCGTCTATACATATGATGTTTTCGAGGGGTGGCATTTTCATGATAGCAAGCAGTCAAACCAACTATTAAAGTATTCGCATTTTAATGTTCAATATGGTATACTCTGGAAAACGTTTCGAAATCAAAGAAATTTTTTTCCAAATCTCGCGTTCTGTGAGACACATTTCTGCTCTAAAGGAAATGTAAATAACTAAACCTGCCGCATTTGTAGCGCACACAATGCCGAAGAGACTGTCCAAACCGAACTGTCCTGTTCCATCCAGAAATATTTACTGTCTGGCGTGGTTGGTATGCTGAACGCATTATTGGTCTATACTTTTTTAACGCTTAAGATGGTATCAACTTTACCGTCAATGATGAGCGCAAAAGGCTAATAATCCGAGACTTTTTGATTCCGTTACCATTCAAGCTACTCGGTTTTAAATAACATATATCCTGTCGGGTAGATCTACAAAAATAAAACCATCACATTTAGTGTCAAATTAAGTATTGAGCGTTCAAATGGACACTTTTTTTTTGGAATTATGCGAAATGGTTCGTGCTGTTACAGAAGCTCCACCACGGACCAGTTGTAAACTTCCAAAGACGTACCCGCGGTATGCCAAAGTTCTATTCCTACTCTCAATGAAATTAAATATTTGCAATATAATTTTCCATTTTAAGTTTTATTTGAAATATCTCTTCTACAAGTATAACTCTGAAACACTCTTTATAAACACACATGTATTCCTTTTGTTCGAATAACTGTAATAATTTCTCTTTTCAGGTGGAGAAACACGACGCCATTTGCATACTGCCATTAAATGTTGTTAATGAGAAAATATACATTTTTCTTTGGTTTTGGTTCATACTTTTAACGTTTCTAACACTATTAACGTTAATATACAGGGTGGTAATTATCTTTTCACCACGTATGAGGGTGTACTTGTTTCGTATGCGATTTAGGTAATCACAAGCTTAGTCATAGTTACATATTATAATACACCCGTAAAAATATACTTATATATGTATGTATACGGTATTCTTTACATGCAAATTCAAATTCAATTTATTTTAACAATTTTGTTTATTTTAATTATAGGTTAGTGCGTCGAGACGCTATTGAAATAATCGTTCGTCGGTCGAAGATGGGCGATTGGTTTTTATTATATTTATTAGGTGAAAATATAGATACGGTTATATTTCGTGATGTTGTACAGGATTTAGCCAATCGTTTAGGACATAACCAACACCACAGGGTGCCTGGACTGAAAGGTGAAATACAGGATGCATGATATTGGGAGTATTAAAAATAATACAAAATGCAATTTGTCGTCTCAATATAACCGTCACTATCACAAATAAAAATATCAACACCAAAACCGCTTAAGTAACAACAGCAGTAGCACCGGCTTCCAAAAATTCTCACCAATGCAAAACTAATAAAACTAAAAACAACAGAAAAACTCCAAAAAAAGCGAACCACATTAACGCCATCAGTTTCACAGGCATTTGATATAATCCGCTACAAATACATTTTCTAAGAAATAAATATATAAAGCAGAATGCTTTCATAATAGACGATTTTAGTATAAACCAAAATTCAAATAGTGTGTGACAGCGACGAATTGTTTATACATATATGTGTGCGAATGTGTGTAAACTAAAAAAATTAAGCGTAGCATATGTAAGGAATAGCAAATAAGCATGTTCAAGCAGACGATCTCACCTACATTCGTAAATCATCGAGACGCATCCAAATATTCATAGCTTGTCATGTTATATTAACAACCGAAAAGGACTACGACTGAGACGACACCCGCAAATGAATGCATTATTGTAATGAGCCAACACGGACAAGTAGCAGTCAGCCAGCAAAAGGCCGCGTTTACTTCACCAATAACAGGCAAGTTTAGCATCCCCACAAACTTCATACATCACATCACATCGCATCGATACATTCACATGTAGCTCGAAATTTAAAGCTTTGAAGTGGTGTAATTGTCGACGGCAACCAACGAAGGAAGGAGAGCTCTCATTTTTTTATATAAAACTCTACCAAAAGAAACCAACCAAAAAAATCTATCATAGCGCCGACAGGACACCATCTTACATCAATAGTTGCATATATACGTATTTTATATAAAAAAAAAATATAAAAAATAAATATGGTTAAAATAAATAATAAATATTATTTCCAATATCATAAGCTGAAATAATTAGAATAACAACGACATCAAGATTAGTGTAATTCATTTCATACATAGTTAATCAGGAGAACTATCCGACACATGCATACATACAAACCAGTTGAAACAAAAAACAAAAATAAATAACGAGTAAACGTAATTATACAAAATCATAAAAAAGTTTTATGAAATATGCATAATAGCCATGATAACTCATCAACTAAATATCTATACATACAAGTACATAACACATAAACAACTACAAAAATTCAGATATAAGCAAAAATAATCATCAAAACATACATACATAACATACATACATATATAGCGCGCCTCATTAAATAACCGAGAAAAGTAGCATGTAATCTAAAGACATACTCGTACGTCTGTACATGAGAGCATTCACGCATAGATTGCAATAAGCAAATACAAATAGTAACTAAACAAAGAAATTTTTAATTAAAATTATAAAATAAAGAATGAATGAAATGAAAAACGAAATGAGACAAGATTATATCATTATGAAATAGTTACGTTAATGCGACGTAAATTACAGTTAAGAAATAGTTAGTGAAACCAAATACACTGCATGCAGAAATGCATATTTATATAAGTATATAATATATTATACTTAAGTTCAGTCTTACTTAGGTTCGTGCATTAAAATACGCAAATGCAAATATTTTGGGGAAACAAAGGCGATAATGAACTGTTTCTCACAGTATATAAACAAATTAGTGGAAAGTGTTTGCAATTTATGAACCACAAGTAAACTGTTCAAGTATGAGTGAAAATTTAAGGCAAAAGGTAGCAAATAAATAACTATATTACGTAAATTACTGAAACAATAGTATGAAGGCACTTTCTTATATATATATATATATATATTCATATACCAATTTTTAAGAATCGAAACTTATATTAAAATTAAACAAAGTGAGCTGGGATATATGTGCATATGTGTGTATTATACTCGAGGCATTATATACAGATATGTATATGCGAAAGTGCGTCTGGTCATATGCCATGTAGGTTATACTTAAGTTTTTAAATACTTAAAACCAATATTTCATGTGCAATATAAGCAACACAAGCGCACATATGCATACATATGTATCTATGTGAAGATGTACACAAATTTGTGGTTGTATTATCTACTAAATGTTTGGGTTCAATGCGAAGCTACATATAATTTTGAATCGGTCACAGTAAGCTCTATGTTTGTCGCAGTGCATACATCCATTACCAAAACATTCGTATATTACATAGTTTTCAAGTATCCGTCCAAATAATATGGTTCGTACACATCAGACATACAAATGCATAAATGCAATTGATTGTGGTAGCATCCGTTAGTTAGCAATTTCCTATAGATATGTCAATATACATCAGCAGCTTTTGAATTGGGAACGCAAATGACACTCTTACTGCCCACTTTTTATTAAGCAACTGATTGCAATGTAAGCAAAACAATAAACTAAATAATTTTTTGATTTTTTGATAATTAATAAAACTATAAATGATAGGCGCTATATTGGCTTTGAAAACTATATACTCCTCAGTGCCATTTAAATGTTTTTAATATCACTTTCCAATGCCTGAAAAATAACAACAATCCGTTCGAGGGCTAATCCTATTTTAAACAGCATTGATCTCTCGCAACATTCAAATGTACGTTTATTTAACTCAAGGTAGATCCCCAGCGAGGACTTACTAGCAAAGCAGCAGTTAAAGTTGTCCGTATAAAATTACAAAATGGATAGATATGCTGATTTATACTATTTAGAAAAATTGTATCGGGCTATAGTATTTTTGCGGAGAAACTGGACTTTCTACTTGAGCCTTTATGAATCAGAAATCATATTGATTGATTTGAATATTTCATACTGCGTCTATGTATAGGAGATCTAGATAGTTTAGCGTTTTGCCAGTCAACCTACTGCCTATCTGGATAGTTTTCAAAAGCTCTAATGTTAATATCATGTTGAATTTAATGGGTAGTAATTAAATTTTCAAACCGTCAGACATATTCTTCGCAATACTCCTGTTGTGAGTTCTCATGACATTATTGGCATATACCAAAAGCCAAAGAAACTTATTGCCTTTAGCTTCACGGACTTAATGAATTAATGCAAAGTTGCTACAATATTGTTATAAAATATCAATAAATGATTTATTTATGGCAATAATAAGTATGTATCATTTCGAACTACTAAAAACCAAAGCCAAATATTATTATTTTTATACAAAAACAAAACATATCTTAGAGATAACCCAAGCGTTTTTAGATCATGTTTACTTCCCCAATTGCATATGTATACATACGTGTAAATATTATATTAAGACTCTCCGACTTATTATAGCGAAGTACTTGTAACTAGACTACAGATGAAATTACACTGCCAGAATAATCAAAACATAAGATTCATAAATTCAATAATCATTCGGGTATGAAGAAATAGTTGATGGCAAGAACAAGTATATTGCCCGCATATTTTACACGTGTAAAATACAGAAAAATAGACTTAGACCATTGAAGTATCCGAAATTTATAATGAGAACGATAGGTAATATAGCTACAAATGAGTAATCGCATTAAATCAACCCACATACAATACCATGTGCACATACATATGCACATAAACCCGAAAATTAAAGTAAATTCAAAACAAACACGCGGTGCTAGTAAGATAAATAATACATTTACTAAAAAACAATAAATGCTGTAAAGATATGAACAAAATATATATAAATTTAAGCAATAGAAACGAATTGAACAATTGAACTATATCATTATATTAAATAAGTGATGCTAACAAATTACAATACGAAATAATTAGGTTTAAGTAAGTACAATTTAGGAAAAGATAAAGTTAGGTAATTAAATAATATTTTTAAGAAATAAAACCATTATGATAAAACTGAAATCATGCGTAAATTATAGCATACTGTGAGTATTAATAAAATTAGCAATAGATTTGTTCCTGGACAAATTTTCACATTTGTATGCGAAAGCAAAAATTACAAAAAAAAAAACGTATAAATTAAAAAACGCAAAAAATATCTCATAGATTTTTAATTAATAAAAGTAATATTTATACTTTATTGTAACAAATACATAGTTTTTGTACATACATACATATGTATCAATAAGAGAATATAAAATATATTATATTTTAAGTCTGCATAGAATTCACATTATTGGGAGTAGTTATTAGTTGCTAATAAAATTGAACGTATTCGTGACCCTTGGGGAGCTTTTGTACCAGAGGACTCACAAAGTTTTAATTACATATATTCAAGTTAATTCAATGCAGTAACAATTTCCACAACAACAGCAAATTTACATACTTAGGAGGCATCATTTCTCAAACGCAAAACTAGCCATTAATTAATTAAGTGTGACTGCTACTCATTACATAAATTTGGATATTTTTTCAGTTTCGGTTAAACATTTATCATTAAATATCGAATTATTTATCCTTTCATACTTTAGACATTGACTTAAATTATAAATATTTCGAAATATAGTGAATATAAGTAGATGGTGTAATGCGTTAATAGCTGGTAGATAGAAATTGCTATATTACATTTATTTCTCTCACGTACTTAAATTAGTACTTCATAGTTGCAATAAAATGCTGATCATTTTAGAAATATTAACAAGTAAGAGCACAATAACATGCGATTCCCAATTGCATTATTGTATCGGTACCAGAATTATTCAGACTCGATTAGCCAAAATAGCTGTACAAGTTAATTATTTAATATACACATATACTATAAGTATATAAATCTACCGTATAAAAGCAAACATTTTGTAAATCTTATTATAATTATTATAATGTAGCATAAATCAGCGAAAATTCGATAGTAACTTACACATGTGAAACTTTATTTTCAAAGTTTTAAAATCTTGTGATTTCGATACGAGCAAATTAAGATGAGAAATTCTTTTAATTCGAATGCAAAGTAAATTGGCCAGTAAAATTTCAAATTAAATATATATTTTTTAAATTTAATTTGCCATATGCTTCTTTGTATTTCGTGTATTATATAGTTTTGTATTCAATGGCTTCTCAACTTGGGTTTCCCCCCCAGAGCTCAGACATAGCAAAATAAGTGAATCGTCGGTATGTTTCGATATAAAAATATACTTACGCGTGCTGTTGTTGACCGCTAGATCAAGTGCTTTGGCTATTTATTATATTATTAATTATCTGTTAATTATGCTCTAACTTCCTTTTTCACTGAAGTTCTGAGAAAATCGGTCTAGTAGGCTTAAGACAAATCATTAAGAATCAATAAGACGATATTAGATTTATTTCAAATAATTGTGCTCATTATTTGTATATTGCTGGATCTAAACGTTAGTTGTCCGTTTTTTGCAGCCCCGGCTTTTTAACTTCGCCATAAGTAGCACTTTTATTGAAACCATTTGGAATATAATGTTGAGTGTTAATTCAAGTGTTCAACTCTTTACATTCTTATTTCGTCCGTTTTATTAATCTTTCTGAAAAAGAATCACTTGAAACTTATTCGAAGACAGACAATATACTTTTAAATAGTTGATTAGTTTTTTTCACTCACATTAAAAAGCATGAAAGTGAAAATTTCCTTTCCCCTAGGGAAATATATTGCTTTTTAATACAATTCTCTCAAATTAGAAAAAATTGGTTACTATGAATTGGAAATTTACCTATATACATATGTATTTTTGAATCCCTCTATTTTTATTATGTTATTGGATAAATTTCATTTTTAATTATTTTATTATTTAAATACTCAGTAAAATAGTTTAAGAAGCTATTTTATGTATTGACATCATTCATATATTTATATCCTACGTTATAAGATCAATATATAAAAATTTAACCCTTAACACACAATTAAAAAATTTTACTAACGGGTTACACCCCTCTACAGTGTCGAAAAATTACAACAAAGAAAAACATAAAAATTTTTTAAGATGACTTCATTTCCTATTTAATTAATAGTTAATACATTTTTTTTCTTGATATTTGATATAAAATGGCAAATAGAAAAAATTTCAATATTCTTACCATCTTCTGTGGAAAGTCAAAACAATTTCACTTTTTGCTAAAACCATTTAAAGAAAAGATTTGTCTTTGGACGAAATATGTACAGAAATATATACGATTAATAAGGTGTCAAAAATCATAGCGCCTTTCTCCAGAAAATTTTTTTTGATAACTGCTATCGAAATTTCAAGTGATAAAGATTTTAGTACCATATATTATGTTTCCAGTGGTGTTGAAGAGGGGTAGAGTAATAGAAAAAAATGGGTTTTAATTTTTATATTTGCTCCGAATATGGTGCGCTTGGTTCCCGTCAGAACTACAAAATAGTCACTTTAAAAACTTTTCCATCTTATAAACAATGTTGTATTTTACTTCTCAGTCCGTTAAGTAGATTTTAAAAGGGGAAAATTACTTTTAGAATTTATTTACTGTTAAAAGTATGACAAAATTAAGTAATTTCATGTTTATTACAACCACTTTTATTAATTTGCGTTGGAAGTCATAAGCCGATTAATTAAAAGAATAAAATATTGTACAAGCTACTAATTACAATTTTACGCGAATTTCAGATTGTTAGAATAAAAAGTGGATATTAACATATACATTTCTTTTGTACGAATTTCTCAATATTTAAATGTCTAAGAGAGATGTTCATTAACCAATTGTAGAAAACTGCCACTCTTACCACAGTTATAGTGAATTTACTTAGTTAATCAATTATCACTTAGATCAATTAAACATTAAATCATTCTGTCACATTACTTCAACTAATAGTGAGTAACTAGGAAATGAGTTTTTGTATATGCTTAAGTTTGAGAAATTTAGAAGACAATAATTAGCAAGAAAGTATGTCCTATGCTATAGCGCAATGTATTTTCAGATTTTTACATTAATAATATATGAATATTTATAGAACTAGTATACTTTTAGGCGCATTAGATGATATTAGATCTTGCTTTACATAGTTGCACTAATGCGTATTATTTTAGTGTTGCCTTAGAAAAGAAATGCTTCTCTGTTACTTACATTGCATATGCAACGTTGTGCTTGAAAAATAAGACTAAAAACATATAATGAGCCTATTTCACTTTTCTAAAAATAATTCTGAACAAGACACAAGATGGTAAACCTTCAGTAGCTCTAGATATTCTCTGCTTAAATAATGTTTAACATATGGAGCTATATTGCAAACAATACGATATAATTGCATTTGTAGGAATATATGTATGTACAAAATTCAATTGTACATCGAGGTAAGAATGACACTTATAAGGGGATGTGTGACAGCAGCTATGATCTTGTTTGTAATGTATAATTTATAACAAGATTTTTTTTAGATATGTAAGATATTTCTATATTTTTTCCTGCCATGTATGTATGTTAATTATTTACAATACTAATGTTTTGTGCAGCTATATTCCACTTGAAGTACTTTCTTCATTTGCCTGTAACAAAACCATTAAGGTGGGCAAAAGTTTTATTGTGAATAGTCTTTAAGAAAGCCACGGGGTTTCTTATTTTGCAAAAATAATACTTATTTATTTTTGAGAAGTTTTATTATTTTTTCCGTCTATCAAAATCCAAACACCGATTTGACTAAGGCTATTTTTGAACTTCTTGTCGTGCATCGGTTTAAGATTTGAGCGCTTTAAAATACAGCAATACAGTAATACTGGAAAATGCCAGTGCATAAGCATTTATGTACATATGTAGCTGCGATGCATTACTAGAAGATATGTATATACTACAATATATAACGATTTCTTATTGTCCATCGTCCGTCCACTTTTAATTTGATGAGATGGGAATGAAATTATTTCCTAAGAGCATTCACATTCATTTTTGTTGATTTATGCCAATTTTGTAGCTACTTAATAATATCATAATAAATTTATGATCAAATCAAACACCTTCTTTATTTTTTTGAAATATGTCCTAATATGCGAATATTTACCCTACATTTCTTAGCTAAATTTCAACTGAAAAGATAATAAAAAAACATATATATGTAGTCGTATATACAAAGCAATAAAGTTAGTCACTTAATTTTTTCCTATTATCTCTAAGTCACACTCCTCGTAAGCAATACGCACTTTTAATTAAAAAATCGGATTCAATAATTTCTTTATTCCTTGGAATACTAATAAAATTGCCTTATATTCAAAAAAATAATAATTATACATTATATTGTAATATAAAAGCATTATTGTAACAAAACAAAGAAACCCTATTGAAATCTTTAGCAATAAATTGTAATAAATAATTAGGACATTATAAGCTATTAGATGCAAAGTTATAAACTTACTTAGGTCAAACAGTTGTACAAAGTGTATATATCTATTTTATTAAGTAAATCATTACCTAATATATAAATTAATGATATATAAATTAAAGCGTATGGTATTCAAATATTACATAGCACACACATACATTCTTACTTCCTATTTTGTAATATTTAGTAAATTATATACTTTTTATTTGTCAGTACGTCCACATTAAATCACTTCTTTGAATACCGGAAAACAATTTAAAAATTTTAATAAACTAAACAACACACTGTATAGTAATTGCGTAAATAATTTCAAAAACAAATTCGCCAATTGCCTTCAACTAGAAGAATTTCGATCTAAAACCATATACAAAGCAAAAGCGTTATACTTAATAAAAATAAATAAAATAAAAATGGGCAGACGATAAATACAGTATGCAGAAAATATTAAATCAATAACCAAGTGAGAATCCAAACTAAAACAAAAACAAAAACAAAGAAAATAAAATATATTACAAAAATAACTTAAACCTATCAGTAACTAATTGAAGCAGCGACAACTGCAATCGGAAATATGAACAAAATTTACAGAAACAAAATATACACATATACATGCATATATACAAATGGAAATAAATAATAAAATACAAAGATAGCAATGCAGAAGTTTACGTAAGCAAACAAATTATTAGACTTTAGCATAAACAGCAACAACCACAAAAGAGAACTGAAGTAATTGCAGAGATTTTATTGCCATATTTGAATTATATAATAAGCGGTAAAACAAGATAATATAGACTAATATACATAAATAGTATATATACAATATACATACATATACACACATATGCGAGTATATATAGATGACGCGAAACTTTAAACCAAAAAACTTACTCGATTATTTTATCTACATACACGAGAATACTTATAAGCAAGAACAATAAACAGAATCATACGCATACAAGTAAATAAACCGTTACTTACATATTTAAATGTATCATTAATTGAAACTAACGAAATAATTAATACATAATCATGAACAGAACCAATTAAGTAAAACAAAAAGTGAGGAAAAGAAGTCGATTTCATGCGCAGGAATTTATATCAATTACGACTATAGCAAGAGCGAAAGAGTATTTATATAAGAAAATACACGAAATCAAGCTTAGGAAATACCGAGTGTGTAAAAATATCCGAAGAACACTTGAAAAAAAGTAAGTGAGTACATAAATAAGCAGAGCGCGAAAGAAAGACGAATTTAAGTCCAATTTTAAAATTGCAATGTCTATCATTGGTTATTAAAAATATATTAAACATTTAATTTATTTAATGTACATATTTAGCGTACCCGCTGTAATCAATCAGACATTTACTTTGTATTCCGATCCTATTTTTCATTAGAGTGTACTTAAGGGTGGCTCTAACGTCGTTAATTGAGCATTTCTTGTGTGTAATATCACTGCGGGAACATTGTGTTAGCTTAAAGGGGCTCTTAGACATGTCAGATCACTTATGCACTTTCAATTGCGAAGATTTTACAATAAAGAATGTAGCTTTCAAAAATATACTTACATAACCAAAACTGTAAATAAATCGGTAGATTCTGCATTATATATGTTAAGGGTTGCCATTTCAGAAATAAATATAGAAATTTTGTTTTGATTTCAAACATTTCTCTTTCATATAATTCAACATCAGGTCTTTAATTACACTGTAATCTTTGCCATGTAACCTCATTCAGGAAAAAATGTTTCAGGATATTATTTTTCACCTAGGAAGTTAATAAATGAAAACATGAAAAGTTCTAAATCGATCCTAATTTCAAACCCGAGGTTGGAAGGGAATATCCAAGATTTCTTCGAAAAAGACCTCGCCAAGTATAAATTGTGGTTACTGCACTAAGCTTTTGTGTGGAAATGAAAAAAAAATTGAGTAAACAAGTTTTCCTGGGAAGCTTCTCTATAAATGTTCACCGTTAGTATGAGCGCGAGTTCTTCTCGCAATGACTTGCTTCATCTTCTTTGGCTAATATTTTATAAACTTTTCATTATATTTGCATATATACATTTTCTTAATTAAATAACAATGATTCGTAAAAGGAGTTTTGTGTTTAATATCGAAAAAAAATTTCAGCTTGAACAAGGCAGTAATTATTGAATATTATATCCATCATATTTATCTACCATGCTGTTCACTTGATTCAGAAAACGCTGATAATTCGTTATTTTAATAGTATTACTATGACAATTTGTTTTAGTTTTAATATAATGCAACATTAAAACATAGAATACACATAATTCTTGGTCTAATTTAAAATTAAAATATTGTGTGTAACTAAGTCGACAAACAATGTAATTTTGACTTCTTAGATGGATTTCATTGAGAATAACATATATAATTTCATTGAGAATAACATATATAAGTTAATTGTTAGTGCAAAATTAACTTAAACTGCCACGAACTCACCTCCTTAAATTGCTCTATATAGTCCTCACTTTTTTTTGTACTCTGTCGTCTGCTATCAGATTTGATTTATTCGCACAAATTATGAGTAAGTTGCCAAATATATATCGAGAAATAATTTTTACTTAGTCTTTTATATTTTGTTAGTAACTCCACTTAAACTATTATCGTTAAATATAAATTTTATATTTTATATATATACATATGAAGTTCGACAGTTAATTAAGGCGAGCACTCCCAAATTCCTTGAGAGAGAGGCCATTATCAAAAAAATACCTTTCAAGTAGTTTTTTTTCGTAAACTCATATTTTAATTTATGTAGTTATAGAATTATTAGGAAATTTTGAACAGTGACATAAATTATTAAGCTTATAGATGAAATTAGGGATTATACTGGATTTTGGGAAGCATTTTCAATTACTCACAGTTAGTGGTTATGATTTTGTTCATAATAAATGCGAGCATGGTTAATAAAGCTTTAATTTGAAAAGCTGTAGTGAAACAAAAAAAAAATAAAGCAAAATAAAGTGCAATAAAGAAGAATTTGAATGAAGCGAAATATTGTACGACCAATTAAGTTGAGCGTTTAATGCATACTCAAACATAAATTTTTACAGTCATAAGGAAAATTTGATTAAAAAGCAAACAAATAAGAACCAAATTAAGGGGTAATGCAAGTATCGAGAGTTTTACTAATATCTACTTATTACCATATACTTGTATGTATACATAGCAACCATCGAGCTGAAATCTTAAAACAAAAATATTGCGGAGCTGGTAGAATTGAAAAGAATATTTCTGTGAAATATTTATTACAATAATTTATACATACATATTAACATATACAATAGCACTTGCGTACATAAAGGTATGTGAATTGTAGACGTGCAGACACAATTTATTAAGTAGTACTTTTAATGAAAATCTGAGTCAACATCACGCAGGCAAATCGAACATAAGTATGAACAAGATGGGAATTATCTGGCTTATATTGGTGTGGAATTTATGCGTGTCATATAAAATTTGACTTGAGTGCAAAATATATTGCAATATATTGCCATAACATAAAGCAATTTATCAGACAACAAAGATTACGAATAATACTACCTAATTTAAAATATTGAAAAAAAAAACGAATATGTATTTAAAATGGAATCGTAATTAAGCATAGACAACGGGAAGGTAGTCTGTTGAATATCACATCTTCATTTTCAGGATTATATACTCGTATTACGAAATATAGTCAATGAACTTACATATAATTATAACTATTACTACTAACATTATCAACCACATCAGTAAAACCTAAAAAGCAAATCGACATCATTATAACAATAAATAGATGTAGAAGATTTACAGTTCAGTCAGAAAAAAACATCACCTTACGAAGGTGAACTTGAAAAACGAATTATTGAAAAAAGAGCACATTCAATTCTTAAAAATATGTGCGAGAACAGACTTGTGAAAATGAAAAGAAAAATAAAAAATGATTATAGATCTTACTAACGAAAGAATTTAATAAAAAAAAAAACTGTAAATAATACTCATGCACGCATAATATACATTTAGTTATTAATATTATTAACAATATGATTAATAATATTGTATAAAGACCTAAAAACTATATAAATAAATGCAAAAACAATATAAGAATTAACATGAAATTTCTTAAGGTAACAGTAATATATTGAAATATTATTAAATTATACGATATTAAGTAAATGATGAGAACGAATTGACAACGTTGTATGATTTTGATCAGAAAGTACATAAATAATAAAATTTTTTCGATTTGTTAAAAAATATACATACAAAAGCTGTGTTCTATCTTCTAAATGGCATATAAGTTATAGAAAACGTAATTCACAGCCTAAAATTGATTACCGAACATGGTAAAATTTTAAAATAACTTAAAATTATAACTACCATTAAACACAAATGTAAGTAATAACGTAAGTGTGTTAATTCTATTTCGGGAGCCCCGTTGCGGTCATGTGCTTAACTATAGTGCTCTAGGTACACATATGTCTCATACACATATAGTCGGACTCTTCTTTAATAAGCTCGCCAAAAGAATATACTTTTCTATAATGATACTCTGAACGTTTGCATTTTTCCTATATTTAGGCTTCTATGTATCGAATATATTTTAAGTCGAAAACAGTATCCTCTGTAACAAAATATTTTCTTAAGAGTGCTTTACTCAATTTGGAGTTCTTTATAACGATCTCTTCAATAATGCATCCGATATGAAGCAATTTGACTTTATCATATCAAAAGCAGTTTTAACTGCAGTAATATAGTATTTAATTGGTGGAAGAAAATTCAAGTACGATATGTGCTTGGATGATGCTAATATTAGGTAAAGTAAAAAGTTCGTTCGGTTTTTTCTTGATTTTTCAAAAGATAATAACTTTGTGTACATTTTTCCGATTTAAGTCAAATATGCGTCGTTTTGTTCGAAAACTTGTTGCCAACGAGATGCCAACTTCATTATACCCCTCTCGTAGAAGACTGCGTCCCTTTTGCCAAAAACTCGGAGAGCCAATTTTCACAGGCCTCTCTTGAGGCCAACTTCTCACGATTAAGCGCGTTCGCCATGGACAGGAAAAGATGGTAGTCATTTGGGGCCAGGTCCAGACTATAAGGTGGGTGCATTAGAACCTCCCATCCGAGCTCCAGGAGCTTCTGGCGAGTCACCAAAGACGTGTGTGGCCCGGCGTTGTCCTGATGGAACACAATTCGGCCTCTGTTGATCAAAGATGGCCTCTTCTGGATGAGTGCTACCTTCAAGCGGTTCAGTTGTTGGCAGTAGAGGGCCGAATTGAGCGTTTGGCCATAGGGCAGCAGCTCGCAGTAGATGATTCCTTGCCCATCCCACCAAACACACAGCAAAACCTTCCTGGCCGTCAATCAGGTCTTGGCCACCATCTGGGCCGCTTCCCCGAGCTTTGACCACGACCGTTTGCGCCCGATGTTGTCATAAGTGACCCATTTTTCATCGTCAGTAACAATCCGCTTCAGAAACGGGCCGTTTATACTGTAAACGAACGTGTAGCACAAAAGTGATTTGCTAGGTTCCGTTCCAGTAATTTCGATGTCAAAGATGCACCACGCGTCGGGTGGCCTGTCGTCGAAAATTGCGATAAAATCATGGAAATAGTGGAAACAGACCGTCATGTGAGCACTTATTTAAGCCGTTTGGAACCAATTGCATAACCTTGGATTCAAAAAGGAGCTCGATGTTTGGGTGTCACACGAACTAACGCAAAAAACATGATGGACCGAATTTCCATCTGCAAATCGCTGCAGAATCGCAACAAAATCGACCCGTTTCTGAAGCGAATTGTGACTGGCGATGAAAAATGGGTCACTTATGACAACATCGAGCGCAAACGGTCGTGGTCAAAGCTCGGGGAAGCGGCCCAGATGGTGGCCAAGACCTGATTGACGGCCAGGAAGGTTTTGCTGTGTGTTTGGTGGGATGGTTTGATCAACAGAGGCCGACTTGTGTTCCATCAGGACAACGCCAGGCCACACACGTCTTTGGTGACTCGCCAGAAGCTCCTGGAGCTCGGATGGGAGGTTCTAATGCACCCACCTTATAGTCCGGACCTGGCACCAAGTGATTACCATCTTTTCCTGTCCATGGCGAACGCGCTTAATGGTAAGAAGTTGACCTCAAGAGAAGCCTGTGAAAATTGGCTCTCCAAGTTTTTTGGCAATAGGGTCTTCTACGAGAGGAATATAGTGAAGTTGGCATCTTTTTGGCAACAAGTTTACGAACAAAACGGCGCATATTTGACTTAAATCGGACAAATTTACACAAAGTTATCATCTTTTGAAAAATCAATAAAAAACCGAACGATGTTTTTACTTTACCTAATATTAGCATCATCCAAGCACATATCGTCCGCTTCCCCGAGCTTTGACCACGACCGTTTGCGCCCGATGTTGTCATAAGTGACCCATTTTTCATCGCCAGTAACAATCGCACTTAAATATTATTATTATTTCTTATTGTGTTTCTGATTTTTGCTTTAATTATTGCTGTAGTTAGTAACCCTCAGAAATGAAAAGACAACTGAGGAATAGTTTAAATTGAATAAAGGTATGTATCTACTATTTGGTTAAAAAGGTGCAATAACAGGTGCTTGATTTTAATATTTTATTTCTTGGATACACTTTTCAAGCTTTGTTCTTGACGTAGGCAGTATTAGAATATGTTAGGAATAGATACTTGTATATTGGTAATGATATTCGTCGAAATAGACAATTACTACTTTTGAGTAAAGCTTTTTGACAAGTCCAATTTTAAAGTTTTGGAAGAACTTCTACAGCAGTGTTAGTATGGAAGGATCGGAATTTTCGTAATTGAGTTTAATATATGCACCTATGAGTTATATACATTTATCTTATACTCAAAGTACAGAATATAGTATTTTTTGACAAAAACCATTTCAAGTTTCTAGCTTAGATAGTGATTTTCATTTATCCATATCAGTAAGGAAAAATTGATTAAAAATTTCCCAACTGCTCTCAATTAAAACAAAGGTATTTTTAAAGTTTGGTTTATCTTTAGATTACCTAGCCCCCACTGAGAACACTGCAAACATAAGGAACATTTTACATGTTATTAACTTTTCTTTTGTATTTGACAACAACAAGCAGAAAGTATCTAACAATAGAAAATAATCAGTCTACCTGGAGTGGCTATAATGGTTTAATTAAAAATTTTTTGATTTTCACCAGACACCAACTCATGGCCAAGATATGTAATTTGTTTATATGTACCAATGATGGGTACTCAACTGTCGTGTACATATTTTCTCATTATTGAATTTCTAGTAGTTTCGAATGAAATGTGTGTTGTTCTTTTCATTAACCTAATTTTATATTCGATTAGCTAAATATTTTAAGGCACCTGACGGAAGTTAACGATCTCTCTTTGATGCAGAAACAACTCTCTAAAACGTTTGAGTACGCACAGCAATTAACTGCACTATGGAAAGAAACAACGAATAATGATGACTTAACCAAATGCATTAGAAAGCGGAAGTCGACAGAAGTTATAAAAATAAGAATTGTTGGTTGTAGCTATTCAGTTGGTCTAGAGATGAAAGGCTCTTTGGGCGTATTAGTTATCGAGCATAAAAAATTTAACACTATCCCGGCTATAAATTTATTTACGATTATTTCCTTATAAGCACTTATATAAGTGCAGATATTATGCGGGTACAAAAAAGCTAAAAAATATAAAACTACGAGTTAATATGCTTAACTCCGCCAACATGCTGCTGCGCAAGAACGACACGGGGAGACGATGGAAAGCTTGACAGTAAGATGTAAAATTGTAGAAGTTATGCGTTCGTGCCTTAAGTCTTTTATACCGTACTTCCAGAATTTATAATAGCGTATTTTAGTGTTATTAGCCTATGGCTACGAAGTAATAATTGGGCGAAATATTTATAAAATAAATACGAAAATAAATATCATGTTGGATTTTTGTAAGCCTTAAGGGTGCTTAATTACTTTCCATCTGCAAAATTGTCAAATAATTTGTTATATCCGCGTTACCGTTTTTATGCGCCAAATAACACTCTTCGAACTATTGATTTTCGTTATTAATTGTCTTAATCAAATTGCAAAATAAGGAGGGTGATATCACTGCCAACTTTATTTTGTCTCTCTAATATTATTATAATAAATTAGTAGAGTGGTAGGGGATTATTCAACGAATCACATACCCTTGTGCGTAGCTGCAATTAACCGTATTCGAGTAATGCAATCAGGTATTTCTATATTCGGTCAGCAATTTTTTATTATAACGGATTCTGTCGAATTTCAGGCAGTCACAAAATAAAAATAAAATCAATAAGAAACAAAGCCATAAGAGTTTTATGTGTACATAATGAAACCCGAAATAGTTTGATTTGCTATTAACGTAAGTCATCGAAAGCTGCGATTGAATACTTTATTTATTGCGAAAGTTGTAGAAGATCGACGCCTTCAGTTGGAGTGAATATAGCACAAAACTAAAACTGAAAAAGAACAATGAAATAACTATAAAATCTGAAATAAATAACTCTATTGAAAACTGGTGGTGCTTTCGGAAAATCCGTTATATGGCCAGCCGGAATATAAACAGCAAACCAACTCAAACAAGTGTCTCAGTAACTATATATTCCATTTAATGACAGTGTGAGTATAACAACTCTACATGACGTGTACCAACGCTTTTGTAGAATTAAGCAAAATTTCAAATTGAAATATTTTGAAAGCAAATCTTGATTCTAATGAGCGCAGTTGGCGAATTCACCATGCAATAGGAGGTACTCATCACCACCGTAGTTGCTCTTGCGGCAACGGTGCGCGAGAAGTCTACAAAAACGATCACTGAGTTCGTAGAGAATATATGAACGAAGCAGTTTAAAGTGTTGGATTTTACGGCTGAGCGCGCAAGGCGTAACTAGCGCTTTTAGACGTGATTCTGTCTAATGCAACAAGTTGTCCGCTAAGCTACATTGTGTGTGTGGAGAGTCCAACCAATAATATTAGCTAAAGCGACTTCAGGTAAGCTTTGACGCGAATGGCTAAAACAGTCGAGAGCAGATAATCAAACAGTGCGGGTCACTGTACGGAATATTGTGGTACTTACTATCATTATTGGTGTATACATATGTATATACTTTTGGCAGTTAGATAGTGTGTTGTGTTTTGCTAGTCACTTGTTCGCTTTTGTGTTTTCAAAACAAGAGACGAACAAATATTTAAAGAAGTAAGTAAAAACGTTGAGTGCATTGTGTTCGCGGTCCAAACTATTTTCGATATTGCGAGCGGGTATTCATTAAAATTTTACAATGAAACTCCCATATGTTAAACAAATCCTTCAACATGGCGTGAAGCGAAAAATTCAAGCCAGATACCTGTGTATTATAAATACTTGTACTACTCTATGAGAGATGAAATAAATTCATTTGAAAAATGACAATGAAGAATATGTAGAGGAGTGGGTGTGAATGAGAGCGCCATGAATATTAGCTCAAAAATAACAAAAGTTGCCAAGTTTAATACTATGCAACGGCTGACCCTTTATGTAATGGCAAATACATACAAAGGTGTGGAAATCATTAGTAAAAGTGTATTAATGTGAATAAAAATACAACAAAAATTGAAATGCTGAAATATTGTACAACAAGATCATGAGTGTAAATGTCAACAAATGGGGTCAGCAGTGAAACTGCATACAACAGCGCCTGCGATTTAACACTAAAAACAAATGTACATATACGTATGTGTTAGAACTGATAATTTGTTCGAATCTAATATATTTACCTTAAATTTTTATGTTATTATTTTTTTACCAGAAAATTGAACCACGCCATTAATTCCGGATATGTTCATATAAAAATACAACTTCCCGATTTCACATAGAGCATACAATCTATCTAATGAAATGAATGTAAATACTATAATTCAATGTATTTTTAATATTTATCAAAAGTATCGTTTATTTTTTGCCAAATTGTACAGCATCAAACCTCATCTATGTATTCGAATTTCGAGCTAATATATAAATATATATATGGTATAAGCTCATGCTGTTTCCACGTATTGGCAAATTTTTAATAACTTCCCAATGAAATATGTTAGCGTAGCTATGTCATTTAAAATTTTTGGCAACTCAAGGTAAACGGGCCAAGTCGGTAGGTAATCATTGGCTTGCCTCGCATTCAGGGTGTTCGTGTTATATGCACACTTGCGAGTATTACTTCGTGTGTTTTGCGATTCTTCTGAATTCGTCTTCTTCATATAAATCTTTTGAATAGAAAACATCTGAGATCATTAGTTGTGCTCAGCCAGTTTTGACCAATAGTAAAGTGAAATAGACAAAGCGCAAATTTATCAAATGCACTACAAAAACAATACCCCAAGTAATGCAAAATCAAAAAATAATAATACTAATTTAAATAAGAAACACTAAAGACCAGAAAAATAACATATAATGTCGTAACGTCGTCAACCAAAATTTTGTAGCTGTGTGTGGCAGTGACTAGCGGCAACAAGTTTTGGCTTTAACTTGCTTTTGCTTCTGATGCCAAGCTTGACTGCTCGGCTTGTTGCCGTTGCTCATATGTATTTTCATACTTTAGCCCTCTTTGTATAGCTGTATATGCTCGTTGTACATACATATGTACATTTTCGGCAAATTCAAAGTCTTTTCGGTCGTATATGTGTTGCAGGTTTCGTGAACTTGTTTTAATGTACATATATTTTTCTCCGCTTGTCAAATAACAGAGACTGAAAACATTGTTTTGGAGACTTTGACCACTCAGCCAACGCAAGTTTTTCAACAGAGATTAAATTTGCCTAAAATTTTATATTGGATAGACATTTTGAGTGCACGCAAAACTGAGGTGAGTTTCAAATTAGCATAAAGTCTTCGCAAATTTAAACAATATTGGTTTATTAACTATTTGAATGTCTACATATTACAAACGGTTGTAAGGATGAGCATTAAAGAAAGCCAACCATAAATACCTTATTAATAAAAAATATAGATTTATCGTTTTCGTATAACTGTTATCTAAAATACTTGTATTTCATAGCCAAATACCTAGAACAGCGATATACTAAGAAATAACTTTTCCGTTGGTATTTTCGAACGGATTGAGCAAATTATATTGGCTAGCACTATTATTTTGTATGCTACGTTCATATATATATATTCGCATACATACATACATATATTGTACAAAGTATATGGAAGGCTCCTTGATGGTTCCCACTGAAGCGTGATGACTGTTAGCTAACTGATTTTCAAGTAGTTATGCCAACGGGTTGCATGTGCACCTCGGATAATTATTAAGAACTGTGATTTGATGCAAACACGCAACTGACAGACGAAGTGAGTTGTATTGAATTAACCCATTTAAAAATTAACTTGCGCTCCTATAATAAGTGGGCTACATTCATTATGTACGTACATAACTGAAGTGCACATTAAGCACAGTATGTGAGCATGCGAGTATGTATGTATGTAATGCATGTGAATAATGATAATAATTTGAAGCATGTACTATTTCCATCTGAGGTTTCGAACATACAAACTACAAACTATTGGGTCGTTCAGTAAGGAATCTCGTTTGATGAAAACAACTCAGCTTATTGAATTTTTTCGTAACTTCAACTTCACACTAAACAGCTATACCGTTAAATATTTGAAAGGCTGATATAGTAAAGCTTGTTTGTAAAAAAATTTCCTCAATATATAAGCATTTTTGGCCTGCTAAAATAAAGATATAGGTGTGTCCGTCTGCCTTTTTGTTGATTTACTTGAAGGAAATTTACTTTAATTGGTTATAGAAATGTAATAGGTCGAAGACTAAGAACATCCAATATGTCTGCAATGAAATTATTTTGATTTTTGCGTAAAATTTAATGTGAAGGAAAGGTTAGAATTCTTAAAGTTCATATCTCTAGCAACTCACTAGCTCCAACTAGGGAAACAAAGTCACAAGATCCCTAGTAATACTATTTATATTCAAAAGCCACTAAAAAGTCATTATTTCAAAGTTCAATAAATTATAGTAAAATGTAATCTAACTGTATAATAAAACTGCCGGACTTTTTTAACCTGTTCATGTATATCCCAAACAACAATTTTTGTCCGAAGTTTCCATAGTATACCAGAAGCTACCCGCGGCTTTTTGTTATAAAATATCTCTCTTAGATGGAAAAGATCTTGATTTTACTCCACATATGTTGGTGATGGTATGCGAGGTACCTCAATGAAAGATTAGTTAGGGAGTATTTTATTCTGTTAATAGTATGTTGTATTGCCAAAAATAGATAAAATCGGGTCAATATTACCGCAATATATCTCTTAGAACTAGCATATCTCATAGAACTAACATAAGACTTTCAAACTTCTGGTTGGCTTTATACCATATAGATAAGTCAATATGTAAGATATCTTAGTAAAATTAACTGATTGTTATTGAATATACTATAGTTCAACGTATAATATTGGATATGCTATTGTGTAATGCCGAAAATATGTGAATTTAGTGTACGAATTACCCCAACTATCAAATACTACCTATATTGATTTTCGTTACATTCCTTTCTCTGTTCCCAATATATGGTGTATAACTATTTCCAACTTTCCACCTGACAAAAGGTGTGAAACTTTAATAAAATTCTATGAACAAGTTTTCTTAAAAACAGTGTGGGAATATGAATGAAATCGGTCCAGACTTTGGACTAAATCTTTTATCCCTAAAATAATGAATTGCGGTCAACTCATTATATTAATTTTAGCTTCTTCAGTTGAGTTTATATCCCATATATCTCATTTGAAGATGATTTTAATACAATTTTAGCAGAAGGGAAGTAAAATAAAGTAATAAAACTACATAAGTGAGTCTATGATCTATAATATAATTTAATAAAATAATAAATTTGATTTTAATCCACTTACAATTTAATCGAATAATGAATGTTGAATTGTTTCGCAACATTTTTAACATAAAGCTTACATAACACCTGAGGGTAATTTCCCTACTTTGATCCTTGAAAGTTGCAAGAGTATAAATTGTTCGGTTACACCTGAACTTAGCCCTACTTTACTTGCTACTTTAAATACGTAAAAATGAAAACTTGTAGGTGGAAGTAACAGGATTTTTTATGTATAAATTTAACAGGGTCTTCAAGAGGATGAAGAGCATTTATTGTGTTCTTGTGATGTAGTTTCGAACTTTGCTCTGAACAAAGCGAAAAAAGTTAAAAGAGAGTTGGGTTGTGTCACGTTTTTGTAAACTCTATCTCAATGTTGATATAAAAACACACTTATGTACGTGGAATCGTAAATATAGAAGTAAAACAGGACAACGTGCTTAAAAACTCGATAACTTTGGCTGCACTGAAAAACTGAGGGACTAGTGCGGGTATATACAGGCGGACAGACGGACATGGTTCGAAATCGACTCAGTCATCGCGCTGATCATTTATAGACATATTCGCATATAATTTATGGGGTCTCCCACGCTTCCTATGGGTGTCACAAATTTCGTTGCAGATTTAATAAATAGGGTATTCACGGATTAGAAAATTACATTATATAAATTATAAGAAACTTTTTACTAATGTGTTCTTTTTTCTAAATCAGGCCTAACCTTTTATTCCATTAACTTTGATTTTAATATTCTTAGCGTGCTCACGCATCAAATTAAAAACTTTCAACATCTTAAATCAATCCAAACACATGTTATTCAATCAACAAATAAGAATATTTTGAAACATAGGACACGGTTTTTAGTTCAGGTAGTGGACATTTTTTATGACAATTAAAAAAAATCGATATCATATCATCTTTTGAATCCATTTTTTGGAAATGTATTCTTAGTCATAAATAGTGACTCCACCCCTTTAACCACAAACGGTTCATAAATATGATTTTTTTAAATACCTTGTCTTTATCACTTAACAAGGTTATACTTGTACATAGAATTTAATAGGGTCTGAACTGCAGAAAAGTAGCTTCAATGAAAAATATATTTAGAAGCTTCAGAGCTTACTGTGTACAGCAAAATATTATATAAAGTTCCATTGAATTTTGATCTTAGCACTAATATGAAAGTAATTCTAAACTAGTATAAGTCTGACGTAACATTGTCAACTTTCTATACTTCTTATCGTCTATTAAATTTGAATGTTAAATGCATTTCTTTTTTGCTAAAATTGAAAAAATTGATTTTCGTTAGCGCATATCAAGGCAAAATCTTATTTCAAAATTTTTACTTAACTTTTATGGCAATGACAGATGTAAGACTTACGTGACACCAACATCGAAACAACACCACACACATCGAAATAATATGAAAATGATTTATCGACCCACATGCCACTTATACCACTATTCAATAAAGTTGGTAGGTCTCATGGGCAGCTCGACATGTTCTACGAAGCATTCTTGTAGATCTTTTAGAAGTGGTGGGTGTTTCTCGATCACTCAAAAACATTTAACTGTTTGCCATTTTTTCGAATCTCACATCATCCAGAATGTGAACGACCAAAACTGCGAAATGAACATGTAACATAATAAAAAAGCTGTCTTGTACAAGGTGGCTCATAGCAAAACAAGCGGCACATTCGTGGGCGTAAAATCTATAGTTGGTTGGTTGATTATTCAATTGGCAACTTGTTTGACCATTAACGCTTGCGGATCGTGTTCGCGTTGCTATGTTCGTTTCTTGAGTCTTTCAACATTTTTATTTTTCTGTTTGCTTTTTATACATTCAAATTCGTTCTTTGAATTTGAAACTTTTGCCAGCCAACGCAGTTAACAATTTCAACGTCTACATACCCATGTCTGAGATTAACTGCTAACATACTAGATTTTTCACATATATGTACATACAATACAGAGTACACAGAAGCACGAATATGTATTTGGTTATGCGACGCGTCGGTCTAGCTTTTGCATAATAAATTTGCAGTGCTGCCATTGTCAACCAATTGTAAATAAATATTAACGCATTTATAAGGAATAGGTATAGATTCATATGCACATATGCATTTAGCCATTTAATACTTATACATAAATGTATGTATAGAGTTACACATACGTTCTTGTACTTGTTTTTCTTTTTGTTGCTTTTGTACATTGCAACATAGCAGTTTTCTGCATTGTTCAATTATTCAATGACTTCATTATTTTCGTTTTGTTCATTGAATAACTTTGAAACGCACCGCTTAAAGTTGGTACAACTTGTTGTTTACCAGAGAATGAATTGTATGCAAATTTTATTAAAATTCAGTTGTTAAAACTGTTGTTAAACTAGCTTACATGATCTTACATTTGTATTCATAATATTATATTTTTCATACAAAGTCTTGTTAAAAAAAACAAACGAGATTTAGAAATTTTACATTCAATGGCAGATGATTTTTAATGAAACTATTTTTATACCCTGAACAGGGCATATTAAGTTTGCCACAAAGTTTGTAACAGCCAGAAGGAAACGTCAAACACATAAAATGCACAATATTGTTAGAAAAATTATTTAGTTTATGGTGTTTTTTTATTATTAAACAATGGTCGTCATTCACTGATTTTCAAAATGGTACAAATAATTTAGAAATATCGGAGAGATGTGAAAATGGTCAGAAATCGTTGAAATAATTTAGGTATATCGGAAAAATAGTTTTTTTGGTAATCCCGCTGTTAAGTTCCCAATTACAGGTTATACTAAATTATTCGTGGAAAGCCGACCAAGTAGGAAGGTTAAGATCTGGTTGATTTTATTGGAAATATTTTTCAAATGGTTGCAGTTATTGGAACAGCTTTTTCTAAGGTGAAATTCCGTACTTCGTGAAGTTAGATTTAATTAGACTAGAGCAAGTAAATGTTGGC